CACACACACACACACACACACACACACACACACACACACACACACACACACACACACACACACACACACACACACACACACACACACACACCTCTGGCCCACCTCAGACCACCAACCGCCCTCCCTGCAGCTCCCTTTTCCTCTCTTTGCCTTTTTTTTCTGGGTCCGGAAAACCAGCACCTCCTGCGTTGCACCACAACACGGCCCCCAGCAGCAGGAGGCTGTGAGGGGCCGCGCTGCCTCCTGCTGCTGCAGCTGCGTCACACAAACCCCACGTCTCAGCATCGCTTCAGGTGACACACACCTGCAGGAGCCTGTGTGTGGGACCAGGGTTCTGCTGGACCCAGCTGGGTCCGGTCTAACCACAGCTTCAACAAACATTTAACGGTCCTCACAAATCCTGAAAACTGAGATAAAAACAAGCGGAGCGGCCATGTTGGATTAGAGACGAGGTCATGACCTTTGACCTGCTGAGGCCTGTAGAGTCACTGCACAGTCTGACCTTCAGGGTGACTGGACTCTAAGTGACCTTTGACCTTCACATTGTCTGATGTCGGACCACCTTGTGAAGCTGCAGGTTGAGGAGGACCCCCTGATGAGGACCAGCAGGTCCTGGTCCAGAACCCCTGCAGCAGAACCAGGTTTAATCTCCTCCTGACCTGAAATGACCTGTAACTTTAACAGGTCAAAGTTTGATTAACTCGCCTCACAAACTCATCAAGTTACAGTTTGTTTATTAAATGTTTGTAAACAACAAACAGAAATACAAACAAAGTAATGAGGCCAAATGAAGCGTATCCATCCGCCCCACATCAACAAATAGTTCCACCTGTGAACCCAGGCTCAGCTGGTGGGCGGGGCCAGTCTGGGCTGCTCTTGGTCCTCTTCCTGTTGGTCACGGTTCGGTTCCTGGTTTGGATCGTGTCTCTCTTCAGAGCGATGGGCCGCCGGACCTGCAGACAGGGGTCAGGATCAGGACCTGGGACTGTGTGGTCCCTGCAGGGCCAGGACCACCTGACCTACCTGGTGCAGTTTGAAGTAGAGACCACAGGCGTTGCAGACAGGATGTCCTGCAGCGTCTCTCCTCCACAGAGACGTCTTCTCTGTCCCACAGTCCCAACAGGGAGGTCCTCGTCGCACCGAGGGAACCTGAAGAACAACAAGGTCTGACTCTGAGTCCAAGAGTGTGTGTGTGTGTGTGTGTGTGTGTGTGTGTGTGTGTG